TTCGCTTCTGTGCTATTTGTGCCATGGTATCAAAGTGGTCTTCAGAAAATCCACGCGGAATAGGGTTGGTATTGATGGGGAACTTTTGATTTGACATCCCACAGAAAAATGATTGGCTGATTTATAAATTTGGTATCTAAATTTTCAAAAACGTCTTTAATAAATTTACCAGTTTTGAAAAATACCCAAGTAACAAATTTTCAATATTTGTATAATATATTTTTAGTTTATGAACTTTCAATTTTTTATTTAACAAGTACTTTAATTTCAAGCTTGTGTTAATAAAGTCTCGATCTATACATTTTTAGTAACCTATGAGGAAACAGAAGATTAAAAGTTAATAATTTTATTAGAATTTCTAAAGTTTAGATACGTTGATTCATAAATTTAGCTCTCTAGGATCTCGTCAAATTTGCACCAATCTTCTAAAATAAAGGGATCAATAAGACGTACAAAGCATAATAGAACTAAAACCAGTGTGGATCTAGCCACACGGGCTCCGATGCTTAAATTAAAATCGGAGTAATTGAGTATAAAGTATATGATGTTGTGAGCATACCTTTAGGGTTTGACTTACTTCCCTCAGAAGTTGAATCCTAGTATTAACGTCCGAAGTTAAGCGTGTTTGACCTGGTTCAATCTTCGGCTTGATGACCTCGGGTGACTTCCTAGTTGCTTTACTAGGAAGCAAAGCATGCTGAGATCTTAGGAGATCTGGACTGCTGACCCTGGGTTGTCTTCGACAACTCCCCTACGAAATACACCAATTAGACTTTTATTTTTCCTATTTACAAACTCATTAAACAATCAAAATTCACATACAAAACTTATAATTTGAATACATTTTGGTAATTACATGTCTATTTTAATTTTCCAAAAGAAAAATGCAGTGGTAAACTTCAAAATTATCTAATGCTAAACTTATCGAAATATTTAGTTACTTTTTTTTTTTACATAAATTTAGAAGAGGACAAATGTAATATGAGGAATTAGAATTTGTAATTTTCCCCAAATTCTAAGAAATTTGCATACAAAATTTGAGTTTCCCTATCTTAATGACATGTTGTTTTCTCTAAAATTTATATTAATTTTCTAAATATTATGTAAAGTACTTCATCACTGACCAATTTTAATATTTAAAAATAATGGGGAGTAAATTGAAATTTTGAAAAGAAAATTAAAACTTTTTAAACGTTACTGAAATGAGAAAAAAAAAAAGAATAAAACTACAAACAGTGAAAACTGATGTCTATTTTGTAACACACCCTGAAAAAATACGGCAAGAGTATTTATAACTATACTTTCTAATAACTGCGATAAATTCGTCTATATATATAAAACAAACTAACTTATAAATGCTACAAAAATGGAAGACTAGTTCTATTCCATAAACTCAGGAACAAATAACCCTGACTAGAAAAAGCAAAAACATAAACTAAAAATGTGAGGTTCTAAATTTTGACCAAAAAAATAATAATAAATTTAGGAATAAGATATATATCTAACCTCTGCTAATATAAGGGAAAAAAAAAAGAAAGAAAAGGTTGATTTTTTTCTTTTTAACAAAATGTTCAAGATTTCTGTCACTCTCATTTTAGTTAGTATTCACGTGGAACTACTCCATCTAAAATGAAAAAAAAACAACTTATAATCCAAAAATAGCGTTATTTAAATGTGTTTCTCATGTTTACAAAAAGAAAATTATAATTCTATGAAGTTAAAGAATAGTTTTTTAATACTATTTTTGAACAATACATAATAATTATATACTTTTAAAATAAACTAGTGTAGCCAATATCGACATAGCTTAACGATAATTAGTACCTATTATTTCCTTTTGAGTATTGAGGCTAGAAATTAAAATCCCATACTTTCAATTTATTGTTAAAAAGTAAATAAATAAAGTGGTTTTTTTATTTTGTCCTAAAAATATACCCATTATTTAAAGATTTTTAAATATTACTTTTAATCTTTTATAAATGTTAAAAAAATATATATTTTGAACAAGTATCTTAAATACTTCGAACCAAAAATTGATGTGACATAACATGGAACAACACGTCTAAATTTTTTCTACAAAGATCTTATGACTTGTTTGATAGAGAATGTCATTTGATAGATGTGTTTTCAAAGATCAAAACAATATAAATTATGAAAACAATTTTTTTTACATTTGTGGTGTTTCTATATTCTAAATTTGAAATATAAAATGCATAATTATATTAAAACGATAAAATTTTGGTAAATATATTATTTCATATTATAAATTCATTTCATTTACGCTATGATTAGAATATGTAAAACATAGTATATTATAAATTATATAATATTGTAAAATAATCATTATACATAATTTATAATATATGTATTTATAAATTAACTAATAATATTTTAAATTGATCTAAACATTTAATTGGTAACTATCATTAGTGTGCAGATATATTATTAAACACACAGAACAATTTTTAAATTGAGATTCAATTTCTCATTCACTATCAAGCACGTATTCGAAAATTGAAATATAAATCCGGTAGTTTTTATTGAATTTCTTATTTTCAAATTTTAGTTTTTAGGTTACCAACCAATCACACCTTTTATTTATCAATGGTTATAGTTTATTTTACCCTAAAAAATGGTTATAGTTTATTTTTGTATTTTCAACCAAAATTTATCATATTTAAAAAATGATAAATTATATGTTAATTGTCATGTCATTTTTTTTCATTTAAAATATTAACAAATATTAGTTTAAGTGATATTTTTGGGATTTTTTTAAATAATGTTTTTATTTAAATTTATTTTTAAAATAATGTTGCATTAAATAAAATTAAAGAAAAAGTACATATTTTGAAACTTATTCCAAAAATAATGTTTTTGAAATTAGTCCTCTACTGGGTCGTCTCTTCAAATTTTAATAGGTATTATCAAATTTTAAAGCACCTCTCGGTCCTTTCTTCAAGAGACGACCATGAATGCTGCACCATCATCCACCGCACCACTAGCTAATTCACTAAAATAGAATCTATTTTTATAATATATAATATATAATAATATTTAGTTTTTTTTAAATATCCAAGTCATCCCTTTAAGAAAAGGATCGAGAGGTGCAGTCCAACACATGGTCGTCTCTTGACGACCATGTCTTGATTTAAAAAAAAAACAGACGTGGTACCAATAAAGTCCCATATCGTTATGTCGTCTCTTCAAGAGATGACCAACATCTGAAAATGGCATGGTCGTCTTTGGAGGAGACGACCAAGTAGAACCAAGTAGAAGACTAATTTCAAAAACATTATTTTTGAAATAAGTTTCAAAATATGTATCTTTTCTTTAATTTTATTTAATGCAGTATTATTTTAAAAATAAGTTTAAATAAAACATTATTCTAAAAGAAATTCGATATTTTTAGTCAAAGACTAATGATGACATATTCATATATATATTTTTAAAGGTTTTCCTTTTTTTCAAAATATATGAAATTTGACGTGACGTGTGGAAGTACAGCACGTGGGGGCAGATTCCCACTATGGAAGCCTGTGGACACGTCAGTTCACGCGCAAGATTCAGATGCAAACAAAAAAATCGGCGGTAGACCCGATAATGAGATTTTTCTTTCAGACACGTGTCATTTCTTCTGGAGAAAATCGAAACGGGGCCCAGTTTAAAAAGTCATTGTTCTTGGCCAATAGTCTGATGCCACGTGGAGTGAACGCGATGTCTTGACTCGTGACTTTGACTGTTTACGGACCAAACTCACTCTCTTTCCGCTCCTTCAAGCGCTTCTGGAAGTTGAAGCTGAACGTCTACACGTGTCCACTGACCTGGAGGATGTTAATTTTTTTCTTTTAATTTTGTTTGTTTAGGAGCAAATCTGTAAAAATGCAACAAGGGTAATATAACATAATCTTACCTACTCAAATTATCTACCTTTTTACCTTAGTTTTCAAATTTTAAGCTAGTTAAATTTTAACAAGTAATTCTAATAAGACTTATAAACATTATTTTTTTAAGTATGTATTACTTTGTTATATATTTTTTATAAATAAGATTTTGAAAAAAGATAGTTTTGAGTAGTTTTATTTTAAATATTTAGCTAAAAATTGTCAATACGAAGATAATTTAATCATAATCGACATCCTACTTTTTTAGGTCGGAGATTTGATCTGCTATATCCCATCTATTTTTAAAGAGGTGACAATTTATAAAACGGTGCAAAAACAAACCTAACTTTTAAAACAGAAAATTACAAAACAAAAATTGTAGTAAATTTTCGCAAATATCAATCAAGAAGTAAACAATTTCAAAATATAGATATGAAAATAATAAATCCTAAAAAGTAAAATAATAAAATGTATTAAAACCTAAGGAATATTCACTCTCCTTCGCTCGCAAACGAGGCGCGTGCACCACACTAATAACCAATTTCCACAGACATTGTTTATCAGGAAATACTTTTGTATCCTCCGATTCGATAGAAGAGAAAGATTCCTATTATTTATTTATTTATTGTTTTTTTCCCTAATATTATTATTATTATTATTTTTAAGATATCTCAATCATCATAAATAACAAATCGGCGTTCTTTGGTTTCCAATTCGCGTTAATCCCCAACGAACACCAACATCCGAGTTGGATTCAGCCGCTGTTTTTAGCGTCCTCCGTTGAATTGAAAATTTAAATCAGCTCAATCAGAGTATCGAAATTAGCGCTTTCGATTTCTTCCTCAACCCCCCAAGTATCTCCGCCGCTTACTCTTTTTACCAATCGATCGCGCGTTTCGTCTCGTTTCGTCTTGTTCGCTGTGTTTATCTTCTGGGTTCTTAGTTTCTTACTGGATTTCTCTTCCTCCGGGGCATTATTCTTGGTGAGTCCCTCTTTTATTCTTTTAATCCATCGTTTTCTCTCTGGAAATTTTTATCGTTTCGTCATCTGTTCTTGTTGTGGATGTTTCGATTAAAGCGAATCGGTTACTGGGGTTTTTCTTGGGGGAAATCCGATTTAATCCATTGGGTTTTGGTTGAAATTTGATTTGATTTCTTGGTTTGTTCCGGTTCTGTCTGAAATTGAGGAAAACGGATCCGTGGGACCATTGAGAAGAGGAGAAATTAGTGTTTCTTTTTGGATTATTTTATTGATTACGATTGAATTCAGATGTTTCGTCTTTGAATAAACATTTTTCTTTTTTAAATTATGGGGGTCAACAGAAGGCCAAGTCAAAATGCTTTACCGCAAAATCTCATGCTCGGCAGTCTTGATTGAATTCTATGTCCACTAATCCTCGGATGTTTTAATGGTTGTTCTGAATTTTTGGGTTTCTTAAATGTAAGATTAAATATGGGTTTTCACCATGTGTTGTAGTGAAGCCTAGGCAGCAGCTGTTGGTGGTGCGCTGTTCGATTCTTTTCAGTAAATGGGCTGTGTTTCGTCTAGAGGAAGAAGACAGTTCCCTGGATACGAGGACCCTGTGTTCCTTGCTTCACAAACAACCTGTAAGTTCTCTGTTTCACTCTGATTTCTGCATTATCCGCCATGTTTGTTCTTGATGAAGTTTGAGAAAACCCGTAGTTCGGCCATCGGATGACTGGCCTTTGATCAATCTCATTTGATGGTTTATTTGATGAGACTATGGTGTTCTTGAGGGGAGGGAGGGTTCAATCAGGATCTGAGCTCCGTTTACTTGATGATTGCAGTAGGATTCGGGCACCGAAAATGAACAAAGTTCTGCGTATTTTAATTCAAGGCTATATATTTGTTTGTGTCTGACGTTGAAGTGTGTTTTTTCAATTGTTTAACGTTAAAGAAATTTCAATTTAGTCCCTTACGTCACATGATAATTAGAAGATAATCGGTCATGTGGTCTAATTCTTCTTCTAAATTTTTGTCAAATTCACCGAGCATCATAAACTTTTTATCTTTGGCCAATTTTTACATTCACTAACGGAAATAGTATAATTAAAAGTATATTAGAAGATAAGGGAGTAAGTTTAAATTTTTAAAATAAGAACTAAATTGAAAAAAACACTTCAAACTTTCGGGACCAGATCATAAAAAGTTTCTTATAGAGCTTGATAAGGTGTTTATATTCATTATAACTCGAGGCCAGGGATGGGGTCTTCTTATTACTATACTGTTGCAGTGTTCTGATTTCTTTTCTAATTTAAATTTTACTGGTAATCATGCGTCTTAAATTCTTAATCTGATTTTCTCATGGTTGTGGTGCCATTTTCTGATATTCCAGTTAGTGTCAGTGAAGTCGAAGCTTTATTCGAGCTTTATAAAAGCATCAGCAGTTCAGTGATAGATGATGGGCTAATAAACAAGGTATTTTATTAATCATACTTGATTCTCTCCCTCTGTTCGAGTAATTTTAGACAGTATTTTATTTCAAGTCCTGCCTATGAGGAAGATATAACCTCTTATGTTTTTCATGTTCAAACAACAAGACGTATCTTGGGGGCGTTTATATTTTATATATATCATGGTTAATCGTGTTATAAAATGAACTCGGAATTACGCAAGTCCAAATTTCCATCTGCAATTGTTAAGTGTTGACAGATGTTCTTGCATGTGCAGGAAGAATTTGTTTTGGCTCTTTTCAAGGATAAGAAGAAAGAAAACCTTTTTGCAAGTCGGGTAATGTTTGTTATACGAACTAGTTTAGCTATTCAAATGATTGATAGTTTGATTAGGTAATACCCTCTTGGGTGGACATGTTAATAATCTGAAATATCAATCGACTCTATGCTATACAGATGCTTCCAAAACTCGTTTATAGGCAAGAATCTGTAGCATCATTTTTTGTTTATTTTGCTTGTTAGAGGTCACAGTAAGATTGAAGAACCTTTCTTTATGGTCTGCAGATCTTTGATTTATTTGATGTAAAGCACAAAGGAGTTATTGATTTCGGCGACTTTGTTCGAGCACTCCATATATTCCATCCAAGTACTCCTCTTGAAGACAAGATAAAATGTAAGTATAGAAACGACATTCCAATCTTAGTTTGAAGTGTTGATAATTTTATCCACTCGATTCGTATTTGTGTTGGTATCTGATATTTGGTTAAAAAATTGTTTGCAGTTTCATTCAAGCTGTATGATTTACATAGTACGGGCTTTATCGAGCGCCAAGAGGTATGAGATAGTTTTGTTTCTTCTTTTTCATTATTCATCCGCGTTGTGAATTTTATTTCTCTTCTTTTGTTTAGTTCGATTGGACAGGGCTCTAATTCTTTGTTGATCCCGTTTATATTAGTTTAGAGGTTTCATTATATTATGTGATTATGACAGGTTAAGCAAATGTTAGTAGCACTTCTTGGTGAATCAAAAATGAAGTTGGCTGATGAGACTGTCGAGTTGATACTTGATAAGGTGAGTTGCCATCTCCGCTCTTCAAAATTCGATCACATCAGACTATTGGTCTCGATACGTGCCTAACGAATCAACAACATATTTGATGTGTTTCTGAGAATCACGAAAATTTTCTTCTGGCTTGCAGACATTTCTGGAAGCTGATAGAAACCAAGATGGGAAGATCGACTTGTCTGACTGGCAATGTTTTGTCTCCAAGAACCCATCATTATTAAAGGTCGTGACGCTCCCTTATTTAAGGTACAATCCAAAGTCATTTTCTCGGTCTCGAAAGAATTCATACATTCATTCGACATTTTCGACAAATTCACAAGTACTTTTTTGCTTCTTTGGTTGAAAATGCAGGGATATAACCACAGCATTTCCAAGCTTTGTGTTTTATTCTGAGGTTGATGAGACTGCAGCATGAAGAAAGTAAATAGAATAATAGGAATTGTGAATTAGCCACATTAACTTTTCATAACATATTAATGTTTTACAGTTTCAGCTTAAGAAAGATGAAATAAGGAAAAAGAAAAAAAAAACAGAAAGATTTTAGATTTTGTTTATTTTTATTTTTATTTTTATTTTGTTGGAGAAGTCCAAATCTGTGCCATAAAGTACTAAAATAGTATGGGGCTCAGTTTTATAGCATCTTCTTCCCTATGATCTGATTTTTGCAGATAGTTATTTTTCATATTAGAAAATTTGGTGCTTTTTTATTTTTTTATTTGTTTTTTGCATCCAATGTAACCCGACCACTTAGTATTTTTAGTAGGAAACTGTGAAAAAAAATTTCTATTGCCATACAATTTTTATTTTCCACCCACTGAAGAATCCGAGGTTCTAATTTTTATTTTGAATTCTACTATAAAAAAGAAAACATATATCGCAAAAATTTATTATAATTAAATTCGATAGATATTAGAAAAAAAAAAAGTAAATTCAGGACCGCATTATTCTAAACTTTTAATTTATTCAGAATTAAACTGCTAATTTGACTAAAAAAATAATTAGACTAAAAAAACAAGTGGAAAAAGTAAACAGAGGAAAGTGTAAATTAGTTAAATGGCATCTGTTCTGTGATGTATTATTAAAGAAAAAAAAAAGAAAAAATAAATAAAGTTTACTCTAATTATTATTAGAGTTAGATAAGTGTTACAAGTTTCATTTACAAATTTAGCATTTGTTTCTTTTTACCATTTGTTCAACGAGATGCAATATAAATTATAAAATTTCTAAAATTTATTGATTAAAAAATTCAAGCATCAACATAATTAAGTTCCTCAAAAAAAAATTCACAATTAAGTTCAATTAGTGTGGAAGATTGGGTGTCAAATTCAACAAAAATTTGGTGGGGAAGGTAGACGTGTGACACTTTACATGACTGAAATTTAGATACTAAGGATGTGTTAAGATATTTGTATAGTTATATTTATTTTGCAATATTTATATAATGTTCTGCACTTATGAATATTCAAATAATTTATATATTAATTTAATATAGTTTGTAATTATATAATAGAATTGTTTTTATTAATTGTAATTGTAATATATATCTATATATATATATATATATATATATATATATATATATTAGCACAACATGTGGGGTGGGGATCGAACTCACAACCTCCTAATACCACTGAGCTATGTTCGCTTTAGCATTTAATATTTTTATATTAATTTCATATATATTAGTTTGTATATGTTATTTTGTACATAAGTTAGTTGATATTAATATAAGATTTTTAAAAAATTGATATTAAATATAAATTTATTTTCAACTTTAATAATTAAAAAAAACAAAAATTATATAGAACATGGGGAGTGTGGATCAAATTCATAACCTCTTAGTTGGAGATTATGCTAATTATCAGTGAACTCGCTTCAACAACAATTATATACTTTATGTTATACTGGGTGTAATTTATTTATCATATTATCAAATTATATATATATTTTTAAGAAGACGCGTATTAAAGGTATGTTGGCTGTTAAACAATATTGCTTTAAAATTATACATTTAAGATAATAAATATTATTAATAATTTATTCATACTATTAAAAATAAATAGAGATATTATATAATTTGATTGAAGTTTATTTTATATGTAATGTAATATATAAATATACTTAATTAAATAAAGTTATTTATTAGTTGGTGAGTTATTTTGAATTGTAAAATAAAAAATAAAAAATAAAGGTACAGAAAATTGATGAAAAAAAAATACATGAACAAGTCACGAAAGACAAAAAAAAAAAGCACCAATATAAAGAGATAATACCTTCTAGGAATTTTGAAAACTCGGGTTTCAAAAACACCCCTTAGAATATGTTAGATGCCTCCAAGTATTCTACATTTATACAAATTAAACTTATAAATTCATACGTTCATCCAATACGAATCTTGAATTTCTACAAAAGAAATAGCCTCTTAGTGTCATATACAAATATTTTCTAAACAAAAATCTAATAAGGTAAATATTATAATACGAAGAAGTTTAAGACAAATATTGCGATATTTACTAAAGGTTAATTAAAATAAAAAATAAAAAAATGCTAAGAAAAAAAATATGATTTTTTATGATTAAAAAAAATAATAATAAGCCACAGTTTTCAACCTAAAATCCGAAAAGGACATATGCTTGGTTTGGGGACCCTTTATTTATTTATTTATTTTTACTTTTTTTTTGCTTAATATTATTTTTTTACCAAATTTATTCTCAAAAATATACCATTAACCAATTACCAAACTATGTACAATGATATATTAATGGTATATTTTTGGAATAAGTTTGATAAAAAATAATATTAAAAAAATCCCTTGATTGGCGGTTGGAATTGAACAAAATTATTTTAAATTCTAGCATTTTAAAATCATACAATTGAGCTTAAATTCGTAATATTGTTTCGAACCAATAAATTTTAAATCGATAAAAATTAAATATCTGGTTAAAATAAATGAAAAAAATAAAATAAAATAATCATATAATTATATAAATATAAAGGCTAATACAACTCTACGCTCCCTCTTCAACCTCCCATTATTTATTTTCTTTTGTTTTTTAGTCTTAAAAGTTAAACTCTTGTTTTTTTAAATAAATTGGAATCTAGTTGGACAAAAGAAAATATAATAGTTTAGTTTTGGTTTGAGTAGTTTTACAATAGATAATACTCAACCCAAGAAACTTAACTTTGATTGTGTCGAACTTCGTACTATTTAGTAATATTTAAAAATTGCACTAATTATTTATTTAAAGGAACATATTATCGAATAGCCTATCAATGTCGAGAAGTTCTCCTTATTTTATGTTTTAAATATAATTTTTATTTAAATATTAATGAATATGGAAATTTATGCATTTTTATGATTTTTTTTGACAGTGCATTTTTATGAAATTAAAGTTGATAAAAAATATAGAAAAAAAAAACAACGAGAACTTCTCAATGGACACTTTATATTCGCTGAAGGCCCAAATTGGTGACAAGCCGAGTCCACTCACCTTGTCAATTCGGACGACTCGAGTAGTATCAGATTATCGAGTTCGAGTCATGTTCCATGTTGGGTTCCTGCCATCTCAATTCCAACTTCTTTTGATCGAAAACCATCGCCAATTCGCAGCCAAGGTCGCCGGAATTCGTCTCTTGAATGGATTTCTCCGAGCAAGATGTAGATATATTCGGCGAAGAGCTCCAGAATGAAGACAACAACGACAACGACAACGACCACCAGAAACTGGTGTTAGTTATAATCTTCTCAGTTTATTAGCTATAATCCTATGAACTGGTGTTGAAGAAGAAGTTTATGCAGCCATCTACAAATGTTATAGGAAATTCCAAGCACCATCTCTGGAAATACGTCGATGTGCGTATTCGAGGTATGGTTTATCTCTTTCTAACTTCTGACTTCCCGACTTGCTCCAGAGGTTGAATTCCTTTTTCATATGTGGATAATTTGTAGGGTAATTTATTAATTTTTATGGCCCTTATCTTAGCGAGAGAAAGACTTGTGCAATCCCGTTTATGGACGGGTTTTTCTTTAAAATCTGGATTAGTTTCTGCCTTACGCATTTCTGAGAATTTGATCTTCATTAGAATTTTTGGAAGCCCTAGAGTTGAAGAACTATTGTATATGAAGTCTCAATTTCGACTTTCTCGTTGTCTTTCTACTTCTGTACACACTACGAAATTGTCATGGGGAGGTTCCTCTTATGAAGTGCTCTTGGGGAAGTTGGAAACTGCTTTAAAAGATCATCAAACCGATGAAGCATGGGAGTTGTTTGATGATTTCAGAAGGTTATATGGTTTTCCAAAGGACAACGTTTTGCTTATGTTGGTTTCTCAATTGTCATATACTTCTGATTGCAATAAGTTAAAGAAGGCATGTAACTTGGTTTTTCAAATTTGGAAAGAGAAGCCAATTGTATTGCAACTTGATGTCTTAACTAAACTTGCCCTCACATTGGCAAGATCCCAAATGCCAATTCTCGCTTCGAAGATTCTTAGATTGATGTTAGAGACGAAGAGATTACCGCGAATGGAACTGTTGCAGTTGGTTATACTGCACAAGGTGAAGACAGAGGTTGGAACATATCTTGCTTCCAATATATTGGTCCAGATATGTGATTGTTTCTTACAACAGGTTGCAAATAGGAATGATCAAGCGAAGTTGATGAAACCAGATACCATGGTCTTTAACTTGGTGTTCGATGCCTGTGTCAAGTTTAAATTATCTTTTAAGGGCCAGCAGTTGGTGGAATTAATGTCTCAAACTGGGGTTGTTGCTGATGCACATACAATTGTCCTAATTGCCAAGATTTATGACATGAATGGACAAAGAGATGATATAATGAATTTCAAAATCCATATTGACCAAGTTTCACCTTCATTAGTTTGTCATTATTGTCAGTTTTATGATAGCTTGTTGAGCTTGCACTTTAAGTTTAATGATTTCGAGTCTGCTGCTAATCTCGTGCTGGAAACTTGTCGATTTGGCGAGTCTCCTAGGATTCAAAAACATTGGAGGGACTCACAAAAGTCTAGCCTTATTCCAATTGGATCACACCATCTAAAGGCTGGATTGAAGATAAAGATTATGCCAGAATTGCTACAGAAGGATTCGGTTCTCAATGTGGAAGCCAAACCAGAGTTTATAAATTATAATAATGGAAAACTTGTTTCCAGTAAAAAGACTCTTTCGAAACTCGTTATCGAATTCAAGAGACTTGGAAAAACTTCTGAGCTCTCAAAACTTTTACTTCAAGTTCAAAAAGGATTGGCATCGACCGAAGGATCCAACTTATGTTCTGCCGTAGTTAAAACTTGCATTTATTTAGGTTGGCTCGAGATTGCCCATGACATTTTGGACGACGTGGAAACAGCTGGCTCAGCAGTTGACTCCGCAGTGTACTTCTTGCTCTTGAAAGCATATTACAACCAAGAAATGCTCAGGGAAGCAGATGTACTGCAAAAACAAATGGCAAAGGTTGGCTTGTCCACCGATACCACAGCAGACATGGTTAGCTCTACATATTCTCCAAAATTAGCTAATCGAACTTCGTCACAGGATAAWCCTCCAACTACTCATGAAACATCTCTAGTTGAATCTCTAGTTCAAGAGATGAAAGAGACTAGTGCAATTTCTCCTAGAGTTTACAAGCTCAATTCTTCTATCTACTTTTTCTGCAAGGCCAAAATGATTGAGGATGCCTTACAGGCATACAAAAGAATGCAACAGATCAGTATTCAACCTACTTTGCAAACTTTCGCCAATCTAGCATTCGGGTTTTCTTCTTTGCAAATGTATCGCGACATCACGATTCTATGGGGAGACATGAAGAGGAATATAGGGAGCAGAAATTTTGTTATGAGCAGAGAACTCTATGAGTTCTTATTGCTATGCTTCCTTCAAGGTGGTTACTTTGAGAGAGTGATGGAAATTGCTGGCCATATGGAGGAGCAGAAGATGTTCACTGACAAAGGGATGTACAAAAGTGAGTTCCTAAAGCTTCATAAGAATCTTTATAGGAGCTTAAAGCCATCAGAAGCCAGAACTGAGGCACAAAAGAAGAGGTTGGAGTATGTAAGAGCATTCAAAAAATGGGTTGGTATTTGTTGAACTTATAGTCAAGAAAGTGCATTGCTTCTCAGGAGGTATGGATATTGTTTCTTTCTTGCTCTACATATACACACAAATTGATGACGTAGACATTCAAAGTAATTTTCTCAAATTGGTTGCTTCATTGGCTTGTGTTTGTATGGTATGGTCCCTATTGGGTGATGTTGAAAATGCAGTTTTAGTTTTGTTTTTATTTTGTTTTTGTGGCATTTTTATTATATTATGGTTCACAATGCCGTTTGCATTCTATCATGCTTCAAGAGAAGTGGAACTTTTATGGATGCTCTCGTTCTTTCTCCAAGTTTGTTCGTTATCATTCTTGACTTTTAGCTGATCTTAATTTATTAATTTTTTTTATAGCCTTGTGAACTTGCTTGCTGTAGTCGTGGAGATATCTATTTTGATGACTGCAGCTTGGTAAGCTATTTAGAGTTGCTTTCTACATATCATTTTTCATGGATGTCGTTGTGTTGTCTATAAATATGTGAGCAGGTGATCAAATGCTCTTTTACCTCATTTTGATTATTAATATGCCACTACTAGAGATTGTTTAAGAGCTTTATTACTGAAGATATTGGAGTTGATTTGAATGAAGGTTTTGACTCTTCTATTGAGCAGAAAGGTAAGTTTCCAAAATATTTTGATTGAATTTTCTCCTGGCACTTTCTTGGAAGTAATTCATAGGGGGCAACGTGCATGCATAGGTAGAACATTGGTTGACTTTTAACGGCAAATGCGGTTATTGCCATCATCATACTTTGGTTGGTTCAGGAGAAAACAACGATTCTGACGGAGACCGCAGTTGGGAGACTAAGTCCTCCTCTAACAAGACAAAATGTCAGACCTCAGTTAGGAGACTAAGTCCTCTTCTAACAAGACAAAATGTCAGAATCAACACGGTTCCACCGTAGCCGGAACCTTTCCTCTGACAATGGAAAGATCTCTGTGCGTGGTGTGATAATGATAGGAATAAAACAAGCTAACAAATATTATCTCAATCACAATTCCAGACAATATATGCTAACTAATCCCAGATCAGGTTCTGGTTCCAATTATAACGGAAATAAATCAAATCAGAACTATGCTCAAAGAGTAGATAAATCAACCTAAACNTTTTTTTTTCATTTCCATTTTTTGCCTTCGCAAATTACAGATAGCCCAGCCCCTCCCTATTTGTGTTTGTAAATCTCGACTTCGCAACAGGCATGAGCAGTATTATAGGTTTCCTCCCTTCTCTTCAGTTCGTAGCACTGCGACCCTTCTCCCTCACTTTTCTTCTATGGACAACGTAGCAGCTCCCTCTCCTTCGTTGTTCGCAGAGGCTTACAGTGGAAATCAACTAAATTGACCGACCGAATCTACATTGTTTCAATCGGCGCAAGAGAGCTTCGCAGAAAAATCGGTTTTCGAAAATTGAAACCGACTGGTCGATTTTGAACAAAAACTGACCCCGGCCGATGCTCACCCTTAACAGATAGATGGATGAAAGATTATTCTATGAACACATTTTAAAAATTCTTTCCTACATTTAACAACATAAAACCGTTAATTAGTCATATTATTCTAATCTGATAACAAAATTTCCCAAATTTGAGATGTTGAGAGACTAATCGAGTCAACGAGAGAGATTCAAGAAGTGAGGGAGATCAACTTTTTCGAGTTAATCAAGCATCAAATCGAGTTAATATAAGGAAAAACTAATAATTCAACATTTATATTCATTCCGATTTATATTTATCAATAAGCTATCGTATAAATAAAATAAAAAGTGGAGTTATTGAATTCTAGTATAGGTTACATAAAATATTGCAAAAAATATCACCAAAAAGCATAATTGCAGATATTGCAAAATTAAAATCTATATATACCCATGTAATTAGCAAAGGCAACAATCTCGAATTCCATTTTCTAGTATCTATGTTATTGGCATTATATAAAAACTTAATCAATAATTTACTGAGATAACATATCACTGATATACTAAGAATTAACCTTAGATCGACTCAATTAATTTACCTATCTTTAATTAAGAGGTTTCCCTTGGTATTAAAAAAAATTGTTTACTCAGATTATGATCAAGTTCAATTGGTTATATAATAAGATTAATTAGAAATTAGTATTTTGTTTTATGTTAATCATTGATTTATCCCTTAAAAAAATTGTTATATTTGATAGAAACAAATTGATATTTACCATCTAAATAGGTTTGTTAAATTAATTAGCTAAGTAAAGAATTAGCTGTTGTCTAACCATGGGAAGGAAGTTTCACTTTGTTCTTTGTCCATCATTGAATTTTAGCAATGCGCGTTAGAGAGACGCATAGTACGCCAACTTCTGAACTGAATTCCTTATATAAGCTACGCATAATTCCACATCCAGTAATTAAAATCAAAATCAAAATCAAAATCAATTCTCCATTCCCTTAATTCCGACATCCGCCGCCATGGCCAACGACGGAGCCGCCGAAGCATGGATTTTTATCAGACAAGTTGCGCGGGGACGGTGGTTCTCGGTGTTCGCGTCCTTCATGATCATGATC